AGCAGCTGGAGATGCAGAACAAACTTTGGGTCAAAGATGAAAAATTGAAGCAACTGAAGGCCATTGTTACCGAACCAAAAAATGAAAAGCCAGAGAGGCCTTCGCGGGAGAGAGATCGAGAGAAGCCTGTTCAGAGATCAGTGTCTCCTTCACCAGTACCTGTAAGTTGCCTTTAAAACACTTCTTGATACAGAGAAAAGCACATTTATAAGAATGAACTAAAGTGCAGGCTATTTCTCTTTAGTGGCTTGAAAATAGTTCCCAAGCACAGATTTTGGATAACTTAAACTCGCTTTGAGTTCTCCGTCTCCTGTTGTATTTATCAGTGCTCTTTACTTGCGCTTCTACCTTCTAATGATACTCATAATGGAAGAACACCTGATTCTTAACGCTGTCACTGCAACACAATACCTCTCCAAAACCATAAGCTTGAATAGCTGAATTGGCACTCTGCACATTGTCAGTGTTCATTGTTTTATTGCCTGAAAGTTGACAGTTCTATACGTTCACTAACTTCTTTCCCGTTCTCTCTAGCCTTCTAGTAACTTTACTGCTCAGGTCCCTCACAGCCAGCGGTTCGTGAGCAACCCGCAGGTGCACAGGCGTTCTAATTCTTGTAGCAGCATTTCTGTGGCATCCTGTGTTATGGAATGGGAGCAGAAAACCCCTTCGCACAAGCATACCAGTGGCATTTCTAATGCAAGGAGTAGACAACAAGAACCAGAACAAAGTAGAGACTATAACTCCTCAGACAGAAGGCGAGGGATGTGCTGGACTGGAGTTGTTGAGGTTCCCAGGCGTAGAGATGAGCTAGAAGTAGAAGAGGATCAATGCTGCAGGGTTAGTGCTGCTCCTGTCGCAAGCTAAATGTAGTGTTGCTTAGTCTGGCTCAAAAGCTCATTACAGCTGCTCTCTGAGCATACCTAATGCAGGTTGGAGTTTTCCCCTAAATGTATTTCTCATAGGACAGTTCTGTTTCCAAACTGAATCTCACTACTCGTTCTCTTTGACTTCTTAACTTGACGTTTAGAAACTCCTTAAAAGCAGTGTGTATATTTCTTGCTGGTGCGCAGATAGCACTTGTAAGGTACTCTGAACTAGCTAGACTTTTTCTTTAGCTATAAACGTCCTTGTGTGTTAACTTGTGTCTGTCTCCTCAAATCTATCTTGCAGCCTGCAATTTGCCATAGTCGTTTGGCCAGCTTAAAAGGTGGTCTTATGAGCCGTATCTGCAAATGTTTACTGGAAATAGCGCTTGGACAAACACCTCACTTGTGTGACTAACTTTAACTCTCTTAGAATAGTCTTCCCTAACTTTCACATCTGCATTAAAACTGGGGGCTTTGCTTACAGGTGGGAGACTTTTTTTTTTTAATTAAAATGCTGCGTACAAATATTTGTATCGGTGGTGTGTGTCTCATGTTATTGCAGTGGCTCAGGTAAATCGAAGAGAATTGTACAACCCCAGCCTCTTGAGAGACCTTCTTGAGAGGAGGAAAGTTTATTGTGGTGTGATTCATATTCAGTAGTGTTTTCAAAATTCCTGGTGTTAGCCAGCTCCATGAAGTCAAGGACGTACTTTTAAGCAAATGCTATTCCAATTAACTAATACATAAACTTCTGTCAGCAGAGTAAAACATGACCAGTAGTAGCGTGCCCTCTCCTTGGAATGTAACTTCTAAGGTACTGTGGTACAATTGTTTCAGAAAAACCATCCACAGAAATAAGTACTTGCCCACTAAAAGGTGGGGAGGTGGGTATTGAAATTCTTTCTTCTTTTTTTTATTTAACGGAAGATTTTTGCTGAAAGCCACAAGTCCCTATATATGTTTAACTTTTAAGAGCTGCCTTAAACTTGTTAGAGGTTTATATGTAAAGGGTACAGCCAATCTCATGTCGATTGGTCAAATCCTAATTGACGCTCATCATCTGAGAACACAGCAGATGGAATTTGCATTCTTAGGTTTGGGTTGTGTAACCTCACCATGATTCAGAGGTCTCTAAAATTAGTGTGTAAATGGAACAGAGAGAGTCTGCAAATACTCTTTCAAAAGCCCATTCAAAGATCTTGAAGGCACCCAAGTTTTTAAACAAGTTTCCAGATGTTTTTTTCTGATTTCCCTGAGCAACTGACAACTATGTTCATGTTCATAAAATAAAAATAGATGAACTCCAACCGTTTCTCATGGATTTCCAACAGCTGTGTTCCCAAGCAATAGCAGTAGGACAGGGGATGCTTCCTCCGCTCTATTCACTCAGAGGAGTTATGAGGTCTTGCATCCTTTAGAGATGTTGGAAATCCATACTCAGTCTGCTTGCTTTGCTACCTCAGAAATACATTTTGATCCATGAATGCATCCATGGAAACATCAATTTTCTCTTTCCTGGTTGGTTAATATGTTCATAGCAATCCATTTTGATTTGGAAACTTGGGAGGAGCATTATCAAACATAACGATGTCCTCCTTGATGAAACTTTACCAGGTATGGAATGCAATAGACTGGATAATGCTTAGCTAAAATTTACAAGAAATAGGAATTGGCACAGAAACAATCCATTAATAATTTTATGCAGGCTCGTGGTAACGATGCCTTTCAGGATGCACTCTGTGAAAGACTTTAGGAACAAAGCTTTGGTCTCCGTACAAACGCATCTTAACCAGACCTGCAAAGTTCACTTCCACTAACGCTATCCTGAGAGATTTACTGTGTGCTGATCTCTTCTGATTCTCTTCCACTCTGATCAGAATGCACCTCCAGTTCGCCTCAGACACAGACGGTCGCGCTCAGCTGGGGAGAGATGGGTAGATCATAAGCCACCTTCTAATCTGCCCACTGAAACAGTCATGCAGCCGCATGTCCCTCATGCCATCACAGTAGCGGCTGCCAGTGAAAAGGCACTAGCTAAGTGTGACAAGTATATGCTGACGCACCAGGAGCTAGCCTCTGATGGGGAGATTGAAACCAAGCTAATTAAGGTAAAGCAAACACCTTCTTTGTAAACTCGTGCTAACCCTGTCAAAACCGATTTCTGGCATTTGTGCTGCAGGCCTACTGGCTTGTGAGAGGGTACGTTTGACTCCATCTGCTGAGAGATTTGATTTGAAGGTTTTGTGCAGTTGGATTCAAGGCAGCCTCTGGAGTCTGAAAATACTTATCTTGAGCTTTGTCAATACTTTGTATAAACCACTACGAGCTTGGTTGTCTCAGTTATCGTTTTTGTTGAAAGCAGTTACATTTTTTTTCCTCTACTAAAATGCAATAATCCGTTTGTAGTGAAAGTTTTAGACTTGTGGCCGCAGCTAATCTTGCGGAGTCAGTCTTGTTGGAGTGATGTTACTCAATTTCCACTAGCAGTATGAGTGAGCTTGCTGCAGCGATGGATGCTCTAATGCTCTGGGACATAATTTCTAGTAGTCAACTGACAAACAGGTTGGTGAGACAGCCTAGGCTTTCAACGCTTGTAACGTTTCTGTCCCAAAACACTGACTGTACTTACCAAAGGCAAACTGAGAGCTCTCTGTAATTTGTAGCAAGAAGCTTTTGGTTCATTTTTCCTACAGTCATGGGCCTTCTAATATTGTCTTTTTTCTTTTTTTGAGTTCTAAAAAGGCCCTCGTTCCTGTAAGGTAACCTTGTAGGTTCCAGCGATGTTTCCAAAAGCAAAGTCTTGCATAGCTGACAGACATATGTGTTCATGCTGAGGAATGGAGCTATTGAGATTAAGCCTATGGCATGATTTCTGTAGTATTACTTAATCGTCATTATCATATAGAAATCTTTGTCATTGTAGTGACTGCTCTGTGGGTATCTTGTGTGACCATCAGGGTAGATGGTGTTCGCTCTTTATTGTTCTGCGTGTAATAAGAGAAGATCTGTAATGGAGGAGGGTGTGCAAGGAAATGACGTTTGTAAGCACTGAAGTTTTCATGTGAAAACTGGCACTGTAGCCATCATACTGACATCACGACTGTACCTTGTTCACTGCTTTTGGTTTCCAGGGGGATGTTTTCAAAACCAGGGGTGGTGGACAGGCTGTGCAGTTCACAGAGATAGAGACTCTGAAGCAAGAATCTCCAACTGGGTGAGTTGTCTTAATTTTGGGTTCTGACGCTGTTGGCAATATGTAACTCCAATAGCGCCTGACTCTGGTCCAAATGATTGAACAAAACCTTCTTGCATCTTAACTTGAAGTCACATAAAAGTAGCTTGGAGAGGCTTATAGACACTGTAGCTGCTTTTAAGGCTGGTGTGCTGCTGAGAGCAAAGTATTTGTTTAGTAAGTATAAAATGTATTCTCTTGTGTATGAGAATCTGCCAAAATAATGACACTTGTAATGTGGTTTTCCATATACTTCTCTTCCAGTCGAAAGCGAAGATCATCACCTTCCAATCCTGACCCAGCCGAGGATGCTGCAGAATCTGAATGGACTGATGTAGAAACCAGAGTAAGCTATAAACAAAGGGGGGGGGCATCTCATGCTTGATGTGGATGAGGATTTGGGGTAATGCTGATAGCTGGGGCAGGGGTTAGCAATAGAGACTGATTTTCCGTGTCTTCTCAGTGTTCTGTGGCAGTGGAGATGAGGGCAGGATCAGCTCTTGGACCTGGGTATCAGCATCATGCTCAGCCCAAGTAAGTTCATCTCTCCTTTGTAGCGGGGATGTTGCATTCTCTTTCCTGATAACATCTAAAGTGAGATAAACTTTTTTAACTTTTTTTTCCCCCCTTGACCTTGCTGCCCTTCCTGCTTCAGGTTTGGGGTGCACACCTCCTTAACACTGTAAGATAAGCAGGCTTATTCAGTGTTGGAAACTGGTGACAGGCTAGATCTGTAGAAGACACTAAGCAGAATGATTGACTTGTCTTCTGGGTAAAACTCTGGCGTTCCATGCAGTGAGCAGAATGTCAAGTTTGATCTTGTGCTATTTTGACTGTGAAAAGCTAGGAACTGTAGGGTGCTTGGCAGTCCCAGAGAGGCGTAGGGTTAGGGATGGCAGGGACAAAGTACTAAGCTGTATTCCCTCTTCTGTCCCCCTAGCCTTTATCAGGTGCTGATGTAGTAAAGAGTACTCACTTTTGTATCTTTAGATAAATTTAAACAAGGTTACAATTTCAGTATGGTATAGGGAGGAGGGAGCTGAGGTGACTGTAGGATATACCTGCTGGTAAACTTGAACATAGCTAATATTCCTGCTTCTACTTGCTGGGTAACTGTCGAGATGCCTGCTAAGGAAGCATGGGCTCTAGTCATGCTGGAAGAAACTTCCCTCTTTTTCAAATGCATAGATAACAGTCTGAATTCTTCAGGGCTGTCTTATCCTTCTTTAACGTGGTGGAATCAGCGGCACTTGCACACAAATGCAAACTACCAAATCAGAAGTCCCAATTTCTAGCAAAAAATCCAAATGATCCTGCAGTTTGTAAGGCTAGTGCCCCATGCCTGAGCCCCGCATCTAACAAGACACTTCACTGACAAAACAAACGCTTCAGATAAGATAGTTTTGTTAAGCTAGGTGTTACGGAACAGAACTCAATATCCATATTTGGCCTCCTGCAGATAGGTGCTGGCAGCGCTGTGAAAGTCACCTTTCCAGCTCAGGGGAAGAAAATGTGCACTTCTGCCAGTCACATTTACAGGCAGGAGAGAGGGCTGGAGAGGTAAAGGGGCTTCCGTGAAGCCAAAATCAACTAAACTGATTGCTGCTTTAGAGCGATGGTGGAAGGGTAATTTGGAGAATATCTGAAATCAGTAATCCAAACCCCCACTCAGATAAGGTAACAAATGTGTGCCTTTCATCATGCGCTTTATTACATCTCTTATTAGAAACTGGAGCCTGCTCAAGGCGCCTGCTGTTACTTGCAGCCTTGCTGCAGCCTTGTAATAGCGTAGTAAATCCTTTAGTTTGCCCATGTATTTATGGAGTTTGTATTTATTTAAACTTACTTAATAACTGAAATAAAACTTTGGTTTAAGCTCACAGCTATTTAGAAAAGAAAGCACAAGACAACTGTTTCTTGATAAATAAGCTCTTGAGTTTTCTTGTGTTAATTGTAGCACTTCTTAGCATAATGAGATATGCGAAACTTCTGCATACAACAGGCTGTTGACTACTGCTAAGGAAAGCTGCTGCTGCGTCAAATCTGAAAGTTGTTTGTGGCTTTTTTCTCTTTTAGGCGAAGAAAGCCATGAACTTGATGTACTACTGCATTGGAATCCTCTTGATTTTATCAGACTGATGTAATATCTGCTGCCAGTGATAAACTTGATAAACTGCTTTGTTATCACTACAGGCTTGTATTATTACAACGGCCCGTGCTAGGCAATGGTTAAATGGGAGATACTTTGTGCCATCCAAAGAAGCTTACGTGTTTGGTGTCGGGGGTTCTGCCATTGTGTCCTCTGCACTTGGGGAACTCCTGTCTCATATATATATGAAGCTCTTGTTATTAAGCTGTATCTTTATAGACTAATGACACAAGGCTTTTGCCTTGTGTATTTTTTCAGCTTTTTTCATTTTATAGTGCAAAATCCTTCCATTCTCGTCACTATCCCTTCCTCATCAGGTCCTCTGTTTTGAAGAGGCATAAATGCTGCTATTTATTTAGATGCAGTAACGCACTTTAAGAGTGTTTCTATGCCATTTCATATTTTATTATAACTTACAACAGCTTGGTAATGTGGATTTCTTTTTGAAAGAATTACCTTTGATTATTTAATATGCAAATCGGCTTGTGAAAACATTTCAACCTTCAGACCTTCATAGTAACGAAGCAAGAATTCTGGTATGATGAGTAATGGTGACTTGACATCAGACCTACTTTATTTTGTAGTGCAAGTAAATAATTAAATGTTTTACATCTGTAGATAAGGGGTAAAAGGGTAATTTGCTCACAGATATGGTGAGAACTTTATGCGTGTGGCTCTGCAAACATGTTAAAATAAATACTTTTATTCAATGGCTCTTACAAACCATGTTCTTGTCACTTAGGGGTATGCTAAGCTGCAGAAACTGAGGTGTAAGCATCGCAGCTTGTGCAAAGAGCTGTGAATAAATGCACCTTTTGGGGTTCTGCTGAAGCTTAAACCAAGGGATCTGCTTAGATCTCAAGATATGTTTTGGACAAGCTAATCTTCATGTCTGCAAATTGCTTTCGAGGGCAGTTGGTTCCGTTTTGAGTGAGTGACTGTCTTGTTAAAAGATGTTGAAGCTTTGAGCTTTTTCCAGCATTGGAAAAAAGCTTTTCTTACCAAGTACTTTAAAAAAAAAAAATCCCCTAGTTGGTTTTTTTTAAGGAAAAAAGTAACCAATATGAGTGCCTGTTCATAGCTGCTGTAAACAAATTATTTTCAGATGGTCCACAGAAAGGCCTATATTGTAAAGAAACACCACCATTCCGCAGGTCCGTAGGCCCACAGCTGGAGCAGCAAGCTGTGGAGCAGCAGGAGTGGCTGGCACGAGCACTGTCCTCTGTGTTGGTCTTGGCATTCGCCTATAGCAAAGAGCAGCCTTGATCTTAATCCCCTTGTGAGAGCGCGAGGCAGA